TACTTCAACATAAAAATTTTGAAGGGACATTATTCAGTCTATAACAGTAGAGCACTTGTTTGTTTCTTCTTCTCCCCCCCCCCCTTTTTTTTGGTACTGGGGATTGAACAGATGCATATAGTTATATAACCAATTTTTGAAAAGACCTAAGGAGAACAGGTTCTTGCTAAGTTGCTCAGGGCATTGATAAATTACTGAGACTGGTTTTGAACTTGCCATCTTCCTGCTTTAGGCTCCTGAGCTGCTGGGAGTATAGGTGTATGCCACCATACCTGGCAAGCACTGGGTTTATACAAGAGACCTAGGTTCATATACTAACTCTGTCTTGAATTAAGTGTGTAACCATGGCCAAATCACTTAACCTCTGAGCTTCCTGATTCTATACCTATAAAAGGTAAGGATAATAATTTTTACCTTATTGGTTTGTTAAGAGATCCAAGTAAAACAGAAATTATGACATCACATTATGAACCAATGATTCTCAGGCGTGTGCCACCGCACGCCTGTAATCCCATTGGCTCAGGAGGCTGAGACAGGAGGGTCACAAGTTCAAAGCCAGCTTCAGCAAAGCTGAGGTACTAAGCAACTCAGTGAGACCCTGTCTCTAAATAAAATACAAAATAGGGCTGGGGATGTGGCTCAGTGGTTCTCCTGAGTTCCATTCCCAGTACTGGGGGAAAAAAATGAACCAGTGATTCTCAACCCCTATCAAAATCATTTTTAAAAAGAAAATTGTTTTAGAGGCTGAGGGTGTAGCTCAGTGGTAGAGTATGTGACTATCATGTGTAAGGCTCTGGGTTTGATTTTTAGCACGCCCCCCCCCCCCCAAGTTCCTACAATTTTCAGCATAACAAATAAGGAGCTCTGTTCTGACCCTCCCCCAGTAAGTAAAACTGAGGAAAATTATAGTATAAAGCCTCTGGAAATGGTTCTGGAACATTCAGAAGTGAAAAATGAGGGGAAAAAGCAAAAATGGGCAGAAATGAAGGGGTAAATGATTCAATAATAAGTCTGAGGAGATGTTAATACCCTACTAGGTAGAATCATAACAACTAAAGTCATTAAGGAAACAACACCATAAATGAAAGATAGTAGTTTATTATCTGTGCATGGTACATTCTAATACTGTCAGTGGAAGTTTTAAACTACATATATACTAAACCCTGAATACAAGCTGCAACAGTTGTATGACAGCTGAGATAGCATCTAAGTGAATAATGGTTAGATAGCATACATAGCATTGGTAAACTGGATGAACATAGGGGTTATTTACCTTCCTGGCAAGACAGTAGAATGGTGTGAGATTACATCAGTAATTAGAATGATGTGCAGTTTAAAACATAAATTGTTTATTTCTAGAATTTTTCTGTTTAATAATTTTGGACCATGATTGGTCACAGGTTAACTGAATACTCAGAAAGCAAAACTGCTGCAGATAAGGGGTGGACTATACAAATCAGATATGAAGAAGGACACATTATATGTGACCTTATAAAAATTAGAATTATGAAGAAATTGAACCGTTTTATCCCAATAAATTAAATGGCTTTGACATTTTTTTCAAAAGAAATACTATCAAAACTGTCTCAGTAAGGAATAGACTACCTTATGAAGGCATCACAAAACTACCTACAAAGAAAAGCCTAGGCCTATCTGATTTCACTGCTGGATTCTACTAAACATTTAAAGAAGAATTATCACTAAATCTTCACAAACTCTTCCAAAAAGCAGAACAGGAAGGAACACCTCCCAACTCATTTTTTTTAATATATATTTTAAGGTGTAGATGGAGACAACATAATGCCTTTATTTTTATGTGGTGCTGGGATCGAACCCGGGTCCCGTCTGTGCTAGGCGAGCGCTCTACTGCTGAGCCACAATTCCAGCCCCCTCCAAACTCATTTTATGAAGCTTGTATTACTTTGATACTATAACCAGAGAAAGGCATTTCAAGAAAACTACAGACCAATATTACAAATATGAACATAAAAGTCCTTGTCAGAATACTAGCAAACTGAATTCAACAGCATATAAAAAGGTTTATACATCATGACTAAGTGGAATTTATCCTAGAAATATGATTGATTTTAAATCAAAAAATCAATTAATGTAATGTATTAGTAAAATTTAAAAAATGCTGTCATCTCAATAGACACTGGAAAAAACATTTGATAAAATCCATCACCTTTTTCTGATAAAAACAGTCAACTAGAAATAAAAGGGAACTTCTCAACATGACTAAAGTCCATCATTCCTATTGATGAAATACTGGTTGCTTTGCTTTTGCTTAATCTGGTATAAGACAAAGATATCTGTTCTCTCCACATCTATTTGATTTTGTACTGAGGTTTCTAGCCAGAGAAATTTAAGAAAAAGGAAGAAACAATATCAAGGTCAGAAAGGAAGAAGTAAAGTTCTCTTACACATGACATGATCTTGTATATCCACTAAAAAGTTAGCACTCATATGGCAGAATTGTAGTCTATAAGACTAATATGTAAAAATCAGTTGTGATCTATAGGCTTGCGATGTACAGTCTGAAAATGTAAAATTCCATTTATGATGGCATAAAAATAAAATATTAGGAATGAATTTAACAAAAGAAGTCTAAACTTGTAGAAAGAAATTAAAGATGATCAAAATAGAAAAGTATTCTATCTTAATGAGTTGGAATTTAACATGCCTAAAGTGCCAATATTCCCCAAATTGACAGATTCAGTGCAGTTCTATCAGAATCCCAGTTGGCTTCTTTATAGAAATGGAGAAACTGATTTCTCAAATTCATGTGGAATTTAGGAATTCATAATAGCTGAAAAATCTTGAAAAAGAATTTCAGTAGGAAGAATCACTCGATTTCAAAATTTAGTATCAGACAGTAGTAATCAAGACTGTGGAATTGACAGGATAACACTGTGTGTGTGTGTATGTGTGTGTGTGTGTGGTGCTGGGGATTGAACCCAGGGCTTTGTGCATGTGAGGCAAGCACTCTACCAACTGAGCTACATCCCCAGCCCAGGATAACACATATTAACTTATAGGTCAGTGGCATAGAATTGAGTGTTAAGAAATTAAACCATGAAAAAAAAAATATATATATATATATAATTATGGTCAACTGGTTATCAACAGGAGTGTTATTATAGTCTCTTTGAGCAGTTTTAACAAAATACCAGAGACCAGGTGACTCATAAGCAACAGAAATTTATTTCTTACAGTCTGGAGGCCAAGAAGTCCAAAATCAAGATGCTGGGAGATTCTGTATTTAGTGAGAGCGTGCTTCCTGATTCATAGATGGATGATATTTTCACATGGCAGAAGAGTCAAGCAAACACCCTGGTATCTCTTTTACAAGGGCAATAATCCCTTTCAAGAGGGTTCTATCATCATGACCAAATCATACTGGCCCCACCTTCCAACACCATTACAACAGGAGTTAGGATTTCACATACAATTGAATTTTTGAGGTATACAGATGTTCAGTCTATAGCAGTTGCCAAGACCATTCAATGAAGAAAGAACAGTTTCACCAAATACTGCTGGGAAACTGCGTATCCGCTTAAAAAAGAAGTTTGACTCTCACCATGTAGAAATCTAACTCGAAATGGATTACAGACTTATATGTAAAAAATAACATATAAAACTCTTAGAAGGCAACATAAGTAAGGTCCAGGATTCTTTTTTTTTTTTTTTTTAAAGAGAATTTTAATATTTTTTAGTTTTTGGCGGACACAACATCTTTGTTTGTATGTGGTGCTGAGGATCAAACCCGTGCCGCGTGCATGCCAGGCGAGTGTGGTACCGCTTGAGCCACATCCCCAGCCCCTAGGATTCTTAATATTATGACACTAAAAGCATGGACAAGAAAAGAAAAAGATTAATTTGGACTTCAAAATTAAAAACTTTTGTGCTTGGAATGATACCATTAGGAAAGTGGAAAGATAACCTATACAATAAAAGAACATTTACAAATTATAGTTGATAAGACAGTTATCTGAAATGGATAAAGAATTCTTACAACTCAAAAGTAAAAATAAACCAATTAAAAAAGGGACAAAAGAATTTGAATAAATTTCATTTGGAGATATTACAGTTAGCAAATAATTAGTTTGAAAAGATGCTGTATTTCATTAAGTCTTCAGGGTATTGCATACCAACACCACAATGAAATATTGCTTCATATGCACTAGAATGGTTAGGTTAAAAATCTCAATAGCAAAGTGTTAACGAGGATGTAGGGAAATTGCAACCCTCATGCTGTTGATGGGAATTTAAAATGGTAAAGCCACTTTGGAGAAACAGTTGGATAGTTCCTCAGTTGATAAACATATTACATACCTCAGCATTCCCATTCTTATGTATATAGCATGAGAAATAAAAGTTTGCATATGGGAAAACTCATCTACAAGCATTTATAGAAACATTGTTCATAATAGCCAAAAGGCAGAAATAGCTCAGATGTCCCTCAGTTGATCAATGATTAAATATAATTGGATATGTACATAGAATGCAGTATTTTTTGAGCCATAGAAAGGTCTGAAGTACTGATACATGCTACAATGTAAATGAGAATAGTTTTGCCAGATATTGTTGGGAAACTGCATAGTCACTTAAAAAAGAAGTTTGACTCTTACCTCTCATCAGTTAATTGAAGGAAGCCAGTCATAAAATATTGCATATTATATGATTGTGATCACATGATATGTCCAAAATAGGAATGTTAGTTAAATGATACAGTGTTCTTTTTAAGGTGATGAAAGTACTCTGAAATTCACTCCAGCGATGGTTGCACACAGCTGTGAATACAGTAAAACCCCCCCTCCCAAAAAAGCAAAAAAATGATGCATTATGTATTTTAATAAAACTTTTTAAAATAATCAAATCATTTTTGGTGACTCTTTGGGGTGAGTTTAGGCATGTATATGTTTAAGACTGAGCTTGTGGAATAGCAAAGCTTATGATAGTTAACAGTAAGCTCAGCTGTTCTCTCTCCACACTTGTAGAAATCATGACCACCCCAGGAAAAGAGAACTTTCGCCTGAAAAGTTACAAGAACAAATCTCTGAATCCTGATGAGATGCGCAGGAGGAGGGAGGAAGAAGGACTACAGTTACGCAAGCAGAAAAGAGAAGAGCAGGTAAGTTCTTGTTTATTTCTTATAAAGAACTTAATGCTCCATATTAAGAAGGAAATCTCACTCCCATTTTTATTTTAACGTTTAATAAAAGTTTCCCTTCCCCTTCTATAAAATCAACATATTTTGAGGATAGGGAAGAGAAGGTACTGAAAAATGGATTAAAAAAATGGGTCAATCTCTCAGTTTCCCATTTTCTCAGTATAACTACTATTTAATATGTTGGCCTATATTTTGTTTTTCATAAATTGATGCTTCCTTCTTAAGATTTTGTACATGTTGATTCTCAGATGACCAAAAAACATTGCTTCTTGTTATAAACTTTAATTTGAAAATTTATAAACATAATACAAAAATAAAGAGATAATGAAGCTTATAAACCCATACCTGCTGCTTCTTTTTTTCTTTTTTTTTGGGTGATGCTGTGATTGAATTCAGGGCCTTGTGCATGCCAGGCAAGCACTCTACCAGTAGAGCTATATCCCCCCAAAATGTGGCATTTATACACTAAAAAATAACAAGATCATGGCATTTACAGGGAAATGGATGGCATTGGAGCAGATTATGCTAAGTGAAGTTAGCCAATCCCTAAAAAACAAATGCCGAATGTCTTCTCTGATATAAGGAGGTTGACTCAAAATGGGATAGGGAGGAAGAGCATGAGAAGAAGATTACCACTAAATAGGTGGGAGGGAAAAGGAGGAAGAAGGGGAATTGCACGGAAGATGGAAGGAGACCCTCATCGTTATACAGAATACATGTATGATGTTGTAAGGAAAAAAAAAAATCTAATGTGTCCCATTAGATTGGGTAGAGAGAAGTGATGGGAGGGGAGGGGAGGGGAAGGGGGAATAGGAAGGGCAACAGAATAAAATAGACATTATTATTGCTGTATGTATATAAGTGACTGTGTGACCAATGTGATTCTACAACCTGTACAATCAGAAAAATGAGAAATTATACCCCATTTGATTCAAATGTATGAATTGTCAAGATCATTGTATTGTCATGTGTAGCTAATTAAAAAAAATATATAGAGCTATATCCCTAGCCCCACCATACCTGCTTCCTATTTGTTTACCTTTACATTCCTTTAGTTTTAAAGTAAAATTTCAGGGAATGTATCTTTTTATTCCTGAATGATTTCTGTATTATTCATAAGAACATTTATGACATTGGGTTTTTAAATTTTTTTCCTTTTTTAAAATCATTTTTAACCTGAGAACATCTTATAAGAGCATTGGGACTTAGCCTCACTGTATCTCCCTTTAAAAGTGCTTAGGACTAGGCTGGGGTTGTGGCTCAAGTGATGGAGTGCTCGCCTAGCATGTATAAGCACTGGGTTCGATCCTTAGCACCACATAAAAATAAAAAATAAAGGTATTGTGTTCACCTACAAAACACACCACACACACCACACACACATAAATGCTTAGGACAAATGGTTCATCACTTTCTTTTTATTTTAATATTTATTTTTTGTTGGACACAATATCTTTATTTTATTTATTTTTATGTGGTGCTGAGGATCAAATCCAGGGCCTCACGTTTGCTAGGCGAGCGCTCTACAGCTGAGCCATAACCCCGGCCCAGTCTGTTACTTTCAACAGACATTTAAAGGCCTAAAGCTTAGGTGACTGTTTTTTTTCTTTTGCTAAGAATAGACTTTTGAGTCTTGAAGGACCTTTTGACCCCCACATTATAAAAACTTTATAAAGGTGAAGGCATATAAATGAGTGAGAACCCTTCATACCTGAAAAATAAGATAATCTGTCATAAATATTTTGCAATTACAGTGAAATACTTATGTGGTGCTGAGGATGGAATCCAGGGCCTCGCACATGCAAGGCAGGTGTTCTGCTGCTGAGCTGCCATCTCAGCCCCAACACATACTCTTGAGAAGCACAGCTCTAGATAATTTAGGTGAAATCGAAGAGTACATTACAGTCTCAGTGTTTTATTTGTTAGGGTTGTAGATGTTTGAATCAAGCACTTTATTATTAGCATTATCATCATTATTGATAAGGGTACTTTGTAATATTATGAAAGACTTTATATTGAGTATAGTGAATAAAGTTATAAATTCTTTCTATCTTATCATCGTTCACAGTAACTATTTATTCATAAAAGGGTTTCTTTTGGATTCTTATTGCCTCTCTCCGTCTGTGGATTTATTATCCTTTTGTTTGGATTAATTTATTAGATTCTGTTTTTGTGGTAAAGTTCCTTTTCTTTGAAATCAAAAAACATATTGTTATATACTTATATTCACCTATATAAATGTGAATGTATGCATATATGCAGGTGAACACAGGCACTGATCTGAATATAATCTCACACGTAGGGATTGTCTTTAATATAAAGCCATTTTAAGTTGTGGTAGTGGTACTCTATCATTAACGTAGTGTTTTATTTTGTTTCTTCTTGGCAATTGCTAGTTCATACAATTAAACGCTTATAAAATTTACATTAAAAATAAAATTTTCATATTGCCTGAAGGTAGATGCTCAAAGTACTTAGTATATCAGGTGGCAAGTATGACCTTCATACATCTGACTAAAACAATTTTTTATTGGAAGTTTACCATATTTATTGTATGAGATCAGAAATTGCATTAGGGCTTTTATTAGTTTCTGGAGACTGCTCTATAAAATTTTAATTTTGTCATTTCACATATACAAACTTGTATGGCCAGAACTAGTAAGAGTAAACAGGCTTCCCAATACCAAAACAGTACTTACTTCACGCCTAATTTCTAAAATAGTAAACATCAGGAAAACACAAGTTCATTCAGGGACTGTTTATCTTTGCACAGTTGCTTTGTCATCTATCTGAAAAAGTAACTGGCTTACACCAACTGAGCAGTTAGATTTGAGAGTAATATAGGAGTGGATGCTGCCAAATATACAAAAGATATCTAGCTTTTAGGGCTATCCCTTCAGTATATAAGAACTTAATATTTGTTATCCAGCAGCACTATATAAATGATCTTTGTGCAATTGGCAATGACAGACCAAATTAAAGTTTATTTTTGGTAGAGCATTTTACTATTTATTAATGCCTTTCTAATTGAGCTCTTACTTTCTCTTTTTCTACAGTGCTAGGGATTGAACCACTGAACTGTTATTTCCAGCCCCTTTTCATTTTATTTTTTTTTTTAAGATTTTTATAGTTGTAGATGGACAGCATGCTTTTACTTGTTTAGCTTTTTATGTGGTGTTAAGGATTGAACCCAATGCCTCACGTATGCTAGGCAAGCGCTCTGCCACTGAGCTATAGCCTCAACCCCTCCTTTTTATTTTTTATTTTAAAATAGTGTCTTGCTAAGTTGCCCAGGCTGGTCTAAACTTGGCATTCCTCCTACCTCATTCAGCCTCCTGAGTAGCTGGGATTACAGCTACCATGCCCTGGTGGTAACTTGTAATTCTTCACATACAGAAAGAACACTTTGTGTTTACTAGTAAAAGTTTTTGACACTTGCTGGCTCAGTGTCAGTGGGTAACACAAGTGTTGTTTAAAAGTTCATAAAAAAACAATGATGAAGAATGGAGACTTTCTTGTTATTAAGAGTTACAAGAAATATCTTCTGGAATAACCAAGATGATAAACTCTGGATAGCTAGTATTTCCCATTAATTATTTGACAGATTAGGCAACCTGTAGTCTGTAAATAAGTGTATGCAAATCATGATTTTTTTTCCCAAAAAAACCATTTTTACTTGGAATACTTTGTGTACCAAGTTGAAAAAGCCCAGTAATGCTAAAATGCTTGAAAATACTTGAAATAATTTTTCTGCTTGCTTTCTCAAATAAGCCACTTTCAGCTCTCTTCAATGTTCAGTGTGGCTTCGACTGTTACATTTCTAAATAATATGTGTATATTACTGTGTAACTTTTTCAATTTGAAGTATTATCTATTGATGTTCTTTTGTGATAGTTGAAGATTTAAATTCTTATATAACTTTCCATTTTTCCATTCTCCTAGTACAGTAATATTTCATTATGTATGTGTTATCCACGCTAAGTAGTACACTGTGGTTACATTTTCTTTTTTGTACTTTCTTTTTCTTGGAATATCCTCCCCCCACTCCTTTATTAAACTAGTTTGGCTTTCTTCAGATTTTTGGACTAAATTTTTTTCAGTTCTGAGTCTTTCCACAGCTTTGTGTGGTTTATGGACTTGTTTCTCAACAGTAATCCCTCCACAGAATTTTTAGGTTTGATCTTCCATTATAGTGACTCATGGCTTTTCTAAGCCTGCCTTTTATTGTCATAGATATGGTTAGGGGTTACACATTTCTTCTGATTTCAGTAAATTAGAATAATTTATGGTTTTTGTCTTTCTTATGATTGCAGGGTGGTGTTTCTGAGGGTAGGCGGATAGAAAGGACTGTTATTTTTAATTTGTATAACTCATCCTGAAAGGCAGATTGTTTTATTTTTGTTACTAGTGGTGTGAAAATTATATTGATTTAGAAAAGAAAAGTTGTATGATCTATTTTAATTCTTCTGTTGTAAATAATAGAGCTGTATGATCTATTTAATTGTATGTGAATAATACATTGTTGTGAATAATAGAGTATACAGTTCTAGAATAGTGCACTGGATTAATTTTAGTAATTTTGAAGTATGGATGATAATAGTTAACTATAGAGTATTGTATGTATGTCAGGTAAACACTTTATGAATTAATTCTGTCAGCCAAACTTCAAGGTGAGTTATTTTTTTATGAAATTTTATGTGTAGATTGAGCTTGTGAGCCACAAATGAAAAATTTAGATTTTATTGGATGAAATTCAATCCAGGTGAATGTCTTTAGATAATCTCTGTGATCCTGGGAAATGTATAATATAATATTTTTATAAAAAATTGAAAAGCAAAGGATATACATTCATTACTGACATTCGTAGTTTTTTTTTTTTTTTTTTAATCTCCCCTTGTGGTTGCAGCAGTTCAGTGGAAATGACCTTGGTCCTAAAGAATAATACTCTTTGTCACTTGAAG